ACATCCGCCTTGGCCGTTACAGCAGACTTAATGGGTCTCTTCCTCGTTCCACTCGCGACCATGCGGGGCAGCGGGGCGCTGGGAAACGTTTCAGCACCGCCTCTGGTGGTGGGTTTGCGGATGGGGGCGGGGTTCTGTAAGGATTAAAGAGTCGAAGGCGGTACTGGGAGCGTGGCGGTTCCATGGTGTAATGGTTAGCACTCTGGACTCTGAATCCAGCGATCCGAGTTCAAATCTCGGTGGAACCTGCGTGTTCACTTTTTCTTGTCCACGCTAATTCATTTACTTATTTACTAGGTGATTGTTGAACTAAGGTATGTATGTCCGTACACTAAGTAGGGAGGGAATGTCACAAAATAAAATCTTTGCCTAGCAAGACCCCCCCCCCCCAAATTTTCCTCTACAATTCTGTACTTTCTCCTAGCTTAAGTAGCCTCTGCCCTTCTCCGTTTTTTTAACCTGGGCCCTCTGACTCAAACCTTCACCAAAAGCTACGAAACTTGACTCCTTTTTCTACAATTTTCAACCTCCAACTTCATTCAAGGGCAGGCACTTTTCACTCACTCCTTTTCTCCAAAAATCTCTGCAACTATCTCCAGATGTCATTCAGAGTACCTCGCCCACCCTCCTCGTCAAGATTCATCAAGAACTTCTTGAACCCTATTTGTCATCCTCTAAGATAAACCTGATTATATAACTAATTTAACACGCAGAGGAAAGGATGGCAATTTCTATTTTAGCAGAAATGTGGATAGGGAGACTCAAGAGATTAGCCAAAGATCACGTAGCAGGGCCTCCTTGTGTTTGAAGAGAGTTTTGTTGTGCCAGAAAGCTTTCTCCATTTGTCAAACCCACCTACCACCTATCTGATTCAGACTTTTGGGTAAGGATGCCTGTAGTAAGCAGGAAAGTGGCTCCCCAAAGATGTCCACTTCCCAATCGTGGGGAACTGTGAATATGCTAGGTTACATGGCAAAGGGGAATTAAGTTTGCAGATGGAATTAACATTGCCAACCAACTGACTTAAAATAGGGAAATTATCCTGGATTCTCCAGGTGGGCCTAATGGCCTCTCAAGTGTCTTTAAAAGTGGAAAAGGGAGACAGTGGTGGCCAGGGTGATGTGAATGTGAGAAAGCTTCAACCAGCCCTTGTGACTTTGAACATGCAGAAAGGAGGCCAGGAGCCTAGAAATGCAGAGGCTTATGGAAGATGGAAAAGGCAAGGAAATGGATTCCTCCCTAAGGCCCCCAGAAAGAACACAGCCCTACTGATTCCTTGATTTTCGACCAGTGAGACCCATGTCAGACTTCTGACCTACAAAACTATAAAATAGTAAGTTTGTGTTGTTTTAAGTCACCAAGTTTGTGGTAATTTGTTACAGCAGCAAGAGAAAACGAATACAGTGCTGTTTCAATGCTTTCTGTCACAGTGTAAAGCAACAGAAGGTTTACCTAAGGCCTAGAGACTGCCTTGTGCAAAGGTGAGCATTATCCACACTGCGGGAGATGCATAATATTACTCAGCAGCTAAATATTACATGTACTACAGATTATAAGACACAATCCTAGCATTACTCAGGTGGGTAGACAAGATGGACTCAAAAAAAAAAAAAGAGAAATATCAATAACTAGACAGTTCTAGAGTTAACTAATGAGAGTCCTGACAACATATGCCACCATTTAGAGGAACTGAGATAATCAGGAAGAACTCTGGAGGAGGAGGAACTAGCATTGACCCCTGAAGGAAGATGCAAGTAAGGAAATTTATTTTGGGACGTGGAGGAAATTAGATGATAAGAGCATGTAGAGTAAGGCCATTAATGCCAGGGGAACAATTATAAACTTCTTCCCTTAAGTCATTGTTTCTCAACATGTGTCCTGAGAAGGTCCATAATATTCCTCAGAAGAAGGACTACATGCTCAAATAAATTGAGAAGCACTATACACTGTCTCCCCCACCTTAGATGTTCCCCTAGCACATTGGTATTTTAAAGTCTAAACATTCCACTAAAGAATTTTTTTTAAACTGTGTCAAATACAGCATTTCGCAGATTCACTTGTGAACAAAAATAAAGAACCAAGAGTATCATTCATCATCCAGTTATACATGGGCTAAATCACAACCCATTGCACTCACCCACCCAACAGTGCACAGTACAACAATGTACCCTAAGGAGAATTCACAACAAAAATAAAAATAAAAAAAAACTGGATGAGGCATTCTGTGCTTTGGATAAACACCCCTTCGATAGTTAAGATGCTTATCTCAGGAAGAATTTCAGTGGCTCCAGATTCCTGCATCTTTGCATAGAGAGCAAAGCACTAAAATCACTAACTTGAGATCTGCTTTTTGTAATCAGCAATAATCTTTTACCAAGATGTATGTTTGACTACATGTATTTCTCAGCCAAAAAATTCATGTATATACTGATTCCTCCCCTAATTCTTAGGAGCAGTTTCTCAGAGCTACTGAGAGGCTGTCTTCCTGGCAATAGTTCTCAGTAAGACCCTAAATAAAATTGAAACTCACAACTGTCATGTTGTACATTTTTCTTTAAGTCAACACACCAACCACAGGACTCTTATCCCATGGAACACCTGTTAGCACCCCACTGAACACTTTGGGGGAGCCATAAAAGATCTGCCATAAAAGAAGGGTGATTAAAGTAAACCTAGTCTTAGGAAAAGTAATCTGGCTATGGCCTGCAGGACTAGGGTAAAGAAAGACTGGACGTGTGAGTATCCATTAGAAGGCTATTGTAGTTAACCAGGCACAAACTGGTGTAGAAATAGAAATGGGGTGTAGCTATGGGAATAGAGAAGAAAGAAAAATCAAAGGCTGTTGTGGAAAAAGTGGTAAATGGATTCTATGAACAAAGAAGAAAATTAGAATTTTACTTTGTTGTTTGGGGGAAGAGGGATAGTAATTGCTTGATATACATTTTTTTTTGTAATCTCTCAAGAAATACAGGAACTTAATGGAAATGACTTAGACAATACAGAATACAGAGTAAATCCTTAAATTCCTCAACTTCAGTTCCTCCTTCAACCCCAGAAATAATTGCTACATTTTCTTTTAATGTAATATAAATATGTGTACCGGTTCCTCATCTTGAAAAATCTTTCCACATTAGTCCCTACAGACTTAACTCATTTGCTGCATAGTTCTCCTGAGCAAGGATGTACTATAGTTTTTACAACCATTCCCATTCCCTTACTCATGGATACAGAAGACAGTAAGGGTTCACTAAACTAAAACCTGTTCCTAAGCTATTTCTTCCTTGCCCACTTCCTCCTTAAAGGCTAGAAAAGCCAAATATTCATTTTTCCCAGCTACTCTGCAATATTTTTCATTTTTGCCCATCTGGCTTGCCCAATAACTTCCACTTCCCTGATAACCAGTGAGTTGTAAACTTTTTCTCCTATATTTAATAGCCATTTATGTGAATTGCATGTTAATATCCTTGTCCATTTTCTTTTGGGGTTGTTTATCTTATTGTTGTGGAGGATCTTTCTATATATTCTACCTTTTAATCCTTCGCCTGTTATATATGGCACAAATATTTCCCCCAAATCTATCACCTGACTTTTAATTTTATTAATGATGCTTTTTTCCCGTACAGAAGTTTAAAATTTTTATTTAATCAAATCTCTCTCAGTCATTTCTTTTATGGCTTCTGGGTGTTGCATTTTGCATAAGAAGCCTTCTTCACCACACCAAAATTATTCAAAAAATGTTTCTCCTCAAATATGTCTCTATTTTTTTTCTCCATATGGATTTTATTTATATTGAGGATGGCATGAAGTATTGATCTAAATTAATTCTTTCCAAATGGACAGTCAATTGTTTCAACATCATTTATTTGAATAGTCTATCTTTTTTTCCACTGATTTGAAATGTCTAATTTACTATAAATAAATTCCATTTATATAAATAAGTCTATTCTTGAATCTTCACACTTTACATCTGACTGCCACAGAGAAATACTGCTCGGATTTCCCCTCAAGAAAGAGCCCTTTCTGAGAAGTGGAGTTGGCTGACAGCCTCCCGCTACCACACCTCCAAGGTCCACCACCGTGTTCACACTGATGCCACACTCCCTCCAGACTGTTCCCAGACAATCATTGAGCACAGTGGGGGTACCAGAGCTGGACCAGTTCTGTCCAAAATGGGGCTCTCCCAATGGGCAATCTGCTCTGGAGCTCTCCTTTGGCTTGGCTGAGATTTTTCTCAGAACTGCATTACAGTCCAAGGCTCTTCCTACCCAATGTTCCTTCCTTCCCTCTCTCCTTGCATAGGTATTGGACCTAAATTGTGGTCTGAAGGCCCTACTTCTCCCATTTATCCCTTACAGGCATTCCCCCAAGTGAATCTAATAAA